ACAGGTCCGTATTTAAAAATTCAAAGATGGGGGTGGCTCAAGTCAGATGACACCCTGCATAAAAGATTCATGGATATATTCTGAGAGCTCACATCAAGTGCCAATAGCAAAATGTGGACAGATTTTCAATATGTCTGCGAAAAAAGTAGATATAGGCAAAAAAATAATTTGGGATTTTTTGGTTTTTCCTGTATATCTCCAGAACCAAATGAGTCTCGCTTGCGTTTACGCAGTTATTTCTATTAAATACTTTTCTTGGTTTTTCACATTTTGTCTTCAATCGAGGACCGCCTGCCCAGTACTGATGATGCCCAATAGGCTGAAACAGCTGTCTACCGGTGGCTCTTAAATTAAAATCAATGTGGGAATGATCAGAATGGTACTTATTTATATATCTTTTGATTTTCATGGAATTATTTTCCAGCAGCTTGACTGCATTAACCTTTCTCGATTATATATAACTGAAAAGAAATTATTGGACGACCACTCATAGGAAAGAGGGCAAATCGCAGACACGTCTTTCTGGCTATTTAGCCTTCGTCAGTACGGTACAGCCAAGTGTAAAGGATAGGCAACACTTGGTTGTGAAAAAGCGTCAAAAACAAACAAGCGAATTCACCCTTTTTCGCAATTCGCAAATTGTGCACTATAAAACGATACATCCTAGATGCACAATCAATTAAGTGCTGGAGAAATTCATACAGTATATTTAAGGATATTTAGAATATTTGTATATAAAATTTTAATTGATATTTGTTTGACATTCAGAGTCTATAAACTTTCTAACGGCCGACGGCAAGAAGTTCGCCCATCCACTCCACCATCTAGGCAAGAGTGAAAAGGACCTACCTCTAATTGCCATTGACAGCTTTCGTCACATGTATATGTTTCCTGATTATAAAAACATTGAGGTTCCTGGAAAACTAAAACAATTCATCCAGGACCTCTACTCTGGCAAATTACACAAAGAATTTCATTACGGGCCAGAATCAGATACAGAAAAGGATAAGGAACAACCTACCACTCCACCAGAAAGCACTTTCAGAAAGTTGGCGCCTTCGAAAAATAGATATACTTTGTTAGGAAAAGATGAACTGTAATTATAATTTTTCAGTAAGTTATTGTGGTCTTCAGTCTTTAAAATAAAAAACTGCTTCTATTGTTTATGTTAGCTAAACTTTTCATAAACAAATCTTTGCTGTACAAACAATATTATTGTATAAAATCGCCGTGAAATATTTGGATCATATTTATTTGTATTATTCCTAATTGTGAACATTTAAGGAACAATGGTCAATGTTAAGTTTGTAAAAATTTTTGATTTTTTGTTTATTGCAAAAGTGAAATTGAATTGAAAACGTTCACATCACTAGTAAGTTTAAAGACATCTCAATTAAACATCAAATTTTTAGTCAGCTCTCATAGTACAGTATGATGTTACCTTGATCAGCAGTATTGCTTGTCTGGGACCCCATAGATTGGACAATTACATAACAAAATACCATAAAATACAATAAAAAGATACTTCAACATAGTTGAAGTTTTCCAGTTGTTATTCGCTCATAAGTTCTTTGAAACGTCTCAAAAATGGAAAATAATTCATTCAAGTGTCACTATTTTCCGGGAAGGCTGTCGATTTTTAGAATTTCTTTCTGACGATTCGCTGGCCCGGACAGGAAAAAATTCTAACAATCCGAAAAATAGTGACACTGAACACCTCGGCCGCGAAAACCTCAGCCATTTTGTTAACTCATTCAAGGTTACTCACAAGCACTCAAAGACTTTTGCAACTTGTGTCTGGGGAGCTTTTAGTGAAATTATATGAAATGAATTTCTCACACTAAAAAACTAACTTATAATCTCTTGTTTTTCAAATCCAGTAGACTTGTTGAATTCAAGAATTGTTTTCTACTGTAAATTGATCCTTGTTCAATCTTCAGTTGGTATTTTCTTCAAATGAGATTCGATATATCTTTTCTATTCTAGAAATACTCTTGAGAACATTCACAAAGAAAATTCATGACGGTAAATACAAATGATGATGGGGACTATTCAAAAATCAATAAATACTACACGCACGCGATTCTAATTTACTTTTCGCAATAATTCTGCCACTTTTCGAACAGAAAGCGAGATCAATTTTCTTGATGACCGCATGATTAATTTTGACTTTTCTATCCCTAAGCAGAAAATTTTGGGCATTGATTACTTGTCATATAAAAATATTCCAACTGTGTAGTTTTTTTTGCAACCTTCATTAAGAGAACTTTTTGTCTTACAACTGTCTAGAACTTTATGCTGAACTTCGTTTCTGATATAATCACGACGTTTCGGCAAGATCAAACGTGCCATATTCATGTGCTCTGCTCTGCACGCCACAATTACGTAGACTGTAATTGTGCCGTGGAATGTCCTGATTGTTCGGCGTCGTTTATGCTTATATTCAAAACCAAGGCCAGTATATCACCAATAGCAAACGCATTGCCCAGGACAATAATCAACCAGAATGCCTCCCACCAAGCATGCATAAAGCCGACCAATAAGGACATTCCACGCCACAATTACAGCCTGCGGCATCGTATAAATGGACGAAGATGACTTCAGTTTCAAGTTCAGCTACCAAGCAGAACATATGAATATGACAAGTACGATCTTGACAAAACGTCTTGATTATATCAAAGATGGACAGATGTACACACGGAGTAACAATTCAGCATGAGATACCATCCGTGAAAGACTATGCCAATAAAACATTGACACCTGTTTTTGGATAAATGGCCTCATCAGTTCAGGCAAAGAAGTGCAACACCTGTTTGCCAAAAACTGTAGCACGGGGAGCCAACCGCACATCTACATTGTGTTTGTATACGTATCGGCCAATCCTTACCCTCAGTCATATCATTCAGTAGGTTAATTTTGTAAACCAGATGCTTAAAAATACAGTTTATGTGAACGTTTCAGTTTATTTGAAGAAGATATATGAAATTGTATAGGATCAGCAGATTTGTGAAAATCACTGCTGGTTATGATGTATTGAGGTGATTCAAAACCAGTAATTCTGATGTAATTTTGAACTGCAGAATATTTTATGTAAATAAATAGTTGGTTTTAATAAACTGCACGTACTAGATGTCATCAGAATGAACTCCATAGTTTTATACTTTTGTGAAAGGGATGCAGTGAATGGAGCATTTTAATGAGTTGCTTCAATTTATAATAGTAATGAAATTCCCAGTGTCAACTAAGTGAATCTTTTTAGTTGGTAGTTTTTCGCAAAGTTAATCACAAAAGTTGAAGATTACATTTGTATTAATTCCAGGATTTTTTATTTTTAAATTCCTGTCCTGTTTTCCTTTTTTTTACTCCTAAATTAACATTTCCAGCCATGAATTCAAGATGTGTATTGGTTCATTCAAAAAATATACCTTTTTAAAAACTTATATTTTCGTAATTTTTAAAAACATTAGAGGAGAGGTTCACCTGGATTTTCGGCCATCACAACATTTTTTTCAACAAAAATTTGAGATATGCTTTTAAAAATTATAGTGTCATTGATTCTCGAGTTTGAAAGCCGTGGATTTTTGGAATTTCTTCCTGACGTTTCGCTGACGCGAGTGGCTAGCTTCTTCAGAGGTTTAACCGTCATGGCTTGTCCGATGACTACCTTTTAGGCTTCGTAAAGGGTATTTATGCTTTGTCAGGTAATCAGTTGTATTTGTACTTTAATTTGTACCTGCACTTGTACCTGTACTCGTACCTGCACTTGACTCTGGAACATTAACAATCTTGCTGACTGTTGTCATTCTGTTCGTTATTCTATAATTCCTTAAAATGGGATTCCATATTCGATTGAGGTTCACCGCTTCTTCTTTTCTGCAGACTCGGACAAACGGACAAGTCAGCTGTGGCAGAACACGCACTTAGTGAAGGAGACCATATAATTTTGTTTGAAAACACAGAACTAATTGCCTCCAACCAGGGATACCATAGCCGACTGGTACGAGAGGCAATAGAGACAATAGAGATTCACACCCACACGGAGAATTTCAACAGAAAAGAAGAAGCGGTGAACCTCAATCGAATATGGAACCCCATTTTAAGGAATTCTAGAATAACGAACAGGACAACAGGCAGCAAGATTGTTAATGTTCCAGGGTCAAGTGCAGGTACGAGTACAGGTACAAGTGCAGGTACAAATACAACTGATTACCTGACAAGGCATACATACGCTTTACGAAGCCTAAAAGGTAGTCATCGGACAGCAAGCCATGATGGTTAAACCTCTGAAGAAGCTAGCCACTCGCGCCAGCGAAACGTTAGGAAGAAATTCCAAAAATCCACGGCTTTCAAACTCGAAAAGCAATGACACTGAAAACCTCAGCCGTGAAACATTTCCTTCGTAACTCAATTGACAACTAAAATAAAATAAGGTTAATTTCCAAATATTGCGTGCTACGTACATTTAGTTGTCAATTTTTGTATGCTGTACACTAGTCTCGAACTTCAGTTTCAACTGTTGATTTTGTTGGTGATAGGCATAAAAGTTGGAAATGTTTGCGTGTTTCGCAATCTTCTGCTATCGAAAAAATTGATCAAAGGATTTGCATCAAATTTCATGTAAAAAATGGAATTTAATGCTCGAAGATGGCATACAGTGATTGTACTCTGAGTCAGAAAAATGTTTACAAGTGGTACAAGCTTTTCACAGAAGGTCGAGAATTCTGAGCAAACTTACACTGGAAGAAAACTATAAGGAAGTTCCTAATTTGTACAAAAAACAAGTGAATATAAATAAATCTCTCCAGGAAGAGCTTAGTGAGGCATCCAAAATTTTCAAATCTGTGGCAAGTAATCTACTGATCAGTTTTAATAATATTTTAGAATCCAGAATATCTGCGTCAAACTCGAAACTTGCGTCAGAATCAAAAATGTTTTCGAAATTTCAATGAAAAATCTTATAAAAACAGAATTCGAATTCCACCAGCTTCTAACACTCAACACTCCAATAACCGAGATGCTCTTCGAACTCAAGAATCGTCTAATGAGGTAACTAAATTGCAACTAGATCCTAAAAACAAGTCTTCGAGATCTGTTGATGAGCATACACAAAATATGGAAAAAATACCACCGAAAGAAACACAAAAAAACGTGTCCAAGCATACCATTGTAGGCAGTGTTTTGCCACTCGAAAAGCAGCAACTTTCAACTGAAATTATGAACGTACAAACTCAACTAAAATAAAATGAGATAATCATTCTTGCTACAGGAGACCAATTATCAGTAGCAAGTGTTCCCAAAAGTGGAACAAAAGACGACCAATGGCAAAAAGTTAATTACAATCGTCGTGCAAGTAGAAGATTTGTTGGTAATAATAATAATAATAATAATTTTATTGCGATACGATCTACAAGTGGACACAGCAAAAGTAAAACTTTCGAGAAGTTAATTCTCATTTACTCTGGAATTACCAATTTCAAAATTAACAGATATTAATGTATCATCATCGACAAATTACAGTTGAAAATTATATAAATTAAATAGATTTTCAAAAATATTCATGATAAACAATATTTACATAGCTATTTTTATTAATGATTTTCGTAATAAATTTCAAATTAGCCAGCAGTTAAACGAATAGTAGCATTTATGTTTCGAATAAGAAATGACTGAACTTCTAAACTTCTTGAAGACTGTGATGTTTTTAAGTTCCTTCGGTAGAGAACTATATGCTTTTATTGCCTGATAGTAAGCTCCTTTCTCATAATATGTTGAGTTATGGCTGGGAATAACTAGTTCGTTACATTGTCTGATGTTAATATGCATATTATTCGAATATTGACCACTATTTCTGGGAAACAAGTATGGATATTTTTTTACGAAACAGACAAGACCCAAGAAGTACAACGAGGGCACTGTCAAAATATCAAGTTTACAGAAGAACTCTTTACAAGAGCTTCTTTGATCTAGATTTAGGATAAATCTCAGGATACCCTGTATATTGTTGATCCATAAGGAGCGCCAACGAAACCTCTACAAATTTCATCAAGTATTTCCTATGGTTAGGTTCAATAGTTATGCTGTACATTCATGAATTCAAGGCTTATGTTCTAGATATTTAAATTTGCCAACTGACAAACTACAAAACTAAAAAAGGAAGAGTTTAATGAAGGTTGATAATTTAACTTTTATAAAATATGTTCGACATGTCTTCCATTTTGTTGAATGCAGAGCTGAAGTCTATGTTTGAAAGACTGTTCTATCCTGCGCAAGACAGCTGGTGTAATGCTGCCAAAAGCATTCGTTATTCTAAGTCGCATATTTTCGNCTTATTTGTCTTACATGTAATTCTAATGATAATATAAATGTTCATAATCGGAACAAAAAGTTTAATTCAGAAACCCAAATATTATTTTTTTTAGTTTCAAGTGGTACCCAATAAGTTATTGCATTAACAAGAAACTGATTCCCAGATAAAAATATTTTTGGGAAAGAAAATTGTGTGTATTTGTACATTATGGTTTCATTACTGTGATGTTCCCAGTTTGAAGCATGGGAATATAAATACTATTTTCCAAAATCTCGTAGAAACTTTAAAAAGTATGTATTTGAACATGTAATTAGTTGAACACACATTCCACCCAGAAGTTTTACAAATCAACAGTGTCCAGTCATCAAACGCCTTATTTGAATGGTTGTTAATATTCCCAACTTATTAGTACTCAGGGCCGTTAGCAAGTTTCAACTGAAAACATACTTCACGTCAGTTTACAACCACAACTTTATTTGCAAGATATATTTACATAAAATTTGAAAATAAAAATATACTTAAATAGAATATTGAAATAAATTATAAGTAGAGAATCATTTTTGGTATCTTATATATACATTTTACAGTGTCCCACTTAAAATAAAGTGGGAAACAACTCGGAAATACTTTGATCCCAAATATCATCTTGAATACTACAGGGAGAATCTAAAGATTCATATCCTCTATCTGACCCGCTACATGAAAATGGAGAAGCACATTGCTTGAGCTGTGGTGAAACGATGGGTGCATTTTCTTCTGAAATTTCTTCACTTTCCATAGCTACAACCTCGGCTAAAGTTTCAGCAGTGTGTATACTATCGTCATCAACGTAAATTGTAACGGTGTTTGTGTCATCATCCAGAGTTCCATATAAGACATCTTCGTTTTCACTAATTACCACAGGTATGTCTGCATTCACTATTAACTTTGGAGCGAGCCTTTCAACCAATGATTTACTTGTATCCAAAATGTTTTTGGGCCGAATAGGTTTCAATTTATTTTTTGTGCTAGTTAATTTGGATTTTCTTGTGCTTTTTGGGGGTTTTGCAGCATAGTTGTGGTGAAGCAGAAGATATTCCGAGATATCATTTTCCAACGATTTCTTCTCGCTTAAAATTTCACATCTACTGGGTTCCAATTCTTTTGGTGCCTTCCCCACCACTTGACATGCACTGGGTTCAGTATTTTGTGGTTCCTGAAAAGATAGTTTCATAAAGATTTTGATATTTCAAATTTTTGTAAGTTCAACTCCACAAAAGCTATTTGTGTTCACAGAAAAAAATCTTCGTAAGAAATACTTCATCTTCAAAATAGTCAATCCAGAAACTCTTAAGCTTCTTGGAAAAATATGACTTTTCCTGAGAACACTGACATGTATTTTTGAAAANGTATAAAGAACTAGTAAAAAAGCCTGTCAAAGACTATTTATATCAAATAATGCTTGTCTTTCTGTTTTGCTCTAGAAAAATAAAAAATATCAACATTTTTTTCTGGAGTGATTTTTTATAAATTGTGACATTACATCAACATTTTACAACTCAGGAACAGTTTTATTAGTGGGGATGGAGTAAAATATTTCAGTTCTAGCGGAGAACATGGCATTTGGGTTAGTGATAATATATAAGACCGTGAATGTGAAACGGCCCTGACCCCAAGTTTTAAGGATCTCGGCCTTCGTAATGACATCATCAAGATGGCGGCCGTAGGGTTCTGGACCGTCATGAATTGGTTATAAGGACCAAATGCCTGAACCGATTTTATTGACATTCGGCACACTGGTACTTGGGACAATATCTGGGTCCAGCTCGTCAATGGTCGTACTCAATTAAGCCGTTTAAAAAATTTTAGAGGTACTTTTTTTTTGAGAATAGGTAGTGTTAGCAGTTACTCAGCTCAATGGGCTACCCCTTCCATGCGCTATTCGGTTCAGGTATCAGAGCTAGAAAAGTGTAGGCCGCCGCACGGCTGAGTGATGGGGGAACCGCCTGTGCAATGGTTCAGTTCAGTCTCGATCCAGATCATGAATGGTCAAACTCGATCAAGCTGTTTCAAAATGGTGGCCATTTAAAGACTAAAATAACTATTCCAAAGAACTCTACTGACTCTTGAAAAAACTATGACTATGCGAATAAAATAACAGTATTTACATTACAAAAAACCACTTTTATTAAACAAATGTTTATCCTTTCCACAAAATAATACGATTGTTTAAAATGTAACTACTTTTGTCAGATGAGTTGTAAATATAGGTAATAAGTTTTTCCAACTTCCACCTCTAAAATTGCAAAACATAACACTTATGAATGAGTACGGGAATGTAACGAAATCTTTGTTACACACCATTTCGAGAACATTGGCCCTGACGTAAGCATAACGGGTACAAAGTAGTTCTTTTGTTACACAGATGCACGAAGAGCACCTTCATGAGTACAGTTCTTCACAACTTTTTGAGGCCTCAGGAATGGTTGACCACTCTGGTAAATAACTGTCTTCAGATTTTTCCAACGCCATTGCTTTCAGGTGGTGGAGGCTTTAAGTCTCTAAACAATGCATCCAAATCGAAGCTTGCAGAGAAGCTCGCTTCACATACTGACATAGTGCATTCTCGGTAGGCGGGATGTTCCCAATGGCTCTGTTCTTATTGATAAAAAGAACACTTCTACATTCATTAACGCCGTTAAGGTGTGATGTTATGTCGTAGAGAAAGACAACAAATATTTGCATTGTTAGCATAACATATTGGTCAGCATAACATATTGATCATCATCTGGATTTCTGTCAACCATTAATAGTGCAAAATTTGCTTTAACATTAGGGAAGGCCATCCACACCTTCCAAGTTCTTTTATTTCCAACTCCATGGAATGCTGTGGCTGTATCACATGTTTGTTTGAAGGTGGTCGACAATGTTTCAAGGTGAATTTCACTAATTCGGACTTCTATTGTCTAATATGATATAAAATAATTTGAAATCCCTGACAGAATCAATAAAATTGAAATGGATAGCTGAAAATAACAAATATATTGAGCAAAAAAACCCTGAAATTATATGTAGGTTCAATTCTCAATTGTTGCTTGTATTTTATAGTAATTTCATTTCAGGGTTTTTTTCCTCAATATAATTGTCATTTTCAGCTATTCATTTTAGTTTCATTAATTCTTTCTGGAATTTCAAAACATTTTATATCATATTAGACAATGGAAGTCCGAACTAATGAAATTCACTGTATCACATCCTATAATTGAATGGAAAATGGGAAGATTCTTGCAGATCTCTGGAGAGAGTTGAGAACACAGAACATGTGTAGAAATCATTCTTCGGTGTTTCCCGAAACCAAAATCAATCCAAGGTTTTTACAGTTATTATTTGTTTAAAGACTGATACAACCACCACCACGACATCTGAATCCACAGTACTTATGTTGATGTATACATGACCATGTTTCATGTGGAAGAGAATGCTGCCATCTGCTTCTTCAGGAGGAATATATTTCACATATATCAAACTCTGCAACCGATGAAATAACTTTTTCTTCAAGTGTGCACACGACCATCTTTCCTTCGTTTCACTGGTAAGCTGTGCCGACAAGAACTAAATGACTAGGCTTTGTTGTTATCTACTCGCAGAAACTCATAGAAATTTCTCGGATTCGTCGTAGATGATGTTATTTTTACTGGTCAGCTGTGCCGACAAGAACTGAAATAACTAGGCTTTGTTCTCGTCTACTCGCAAAAACTCATAGAAATTTCTCGGGATTGTCGTAGATGATGTTACTTTTATCTGAGTTCCTGTTCCTCTTGGCTGGCGAGTGTCAGATTTTAGGAATTCGGGACAGTACCTATCGAATACCACATCAACTCGTCTCAGGTTCTTCAAATAAGTTACAGATGTAGGGCTTGAAAATTCGGTTCAGACATTTGGTCATTATAGTCAATTCATAACGATCCGGCATCCTTTTACGGCCGCTATTTTGAAGACGTCATTACGGACGATGAAGACCTTCAAAACTTGGGGTCTGGCCCATTTTATGTTCCGTAACATGTACTATAACCACTTCAAGTAACAGTTCTCCGCCAGAACTGAAATATTCTACCACATAAATGAGTTATTGGGAAATGTATTACCATTAATTTTACTTTGATGGTACATTAATAAGTACCAAAAGCTTCCCTGTATGCTCTATGGTATTCAAGGCAATGAGATATATGAGTATGGTTATTCAGTTGAAGGTTTTGTTTTCTACAAATTGATGGATGTAGCTGTTACTACATGGTAGGAGATCATTATGAAAAATGAGAAGTATTACTTTCTGTTTTTTACCACTTTTATTTGTAACTAACGTTACTGCAGTTTCTTCCTATTAGGATATTTTCAAACTAATACAATAAGTTCATTGTCGTCCTTATCGGACGAAAATGCAGTAAAGTTAGTTACAAATGAAAGTGGTCAAGAAACAAAGTATCATTTCTCTTATTTATTCAGACTAATACAATAACTTCATTGTATAAGTTTGAAAACGTTCTTAAATTGCGAAACTGCAGTAACGTTAGTTACAAATAAAAGTGGTAAAAAACATGGAAAGTATTCTTTCTCATTTTTATGTTTTGCTTTCTCATCATCATGTCAAATGAATGGTACAGAAAAATATTTCTATGAAATCACTTTTCCCATCCACCGCACTTGAAAAAACTTTTTCAGTCCTTTTGAAGTTGGCATCATCAGTAGATGAAAAATCTCAAGTAATATTATTTCTCAAAGTTGAGGTTTTTGACTTTGATTGAGTTGAAATGAAAATTTGATCCCTTACCAAAGAATACAAAGCCCATAGAAGCTCAGAAATATCATTTTCGTGTACCAATAGTTTTAGTACTTATCTGGACCACCAGAGGGCGATGGCAGTACGATGTTACTATTAAATATTGAGGGTAGAGGTAAAGAAAACCGTCTCTGTGTGAAAGTGTCCGTTAAAATGTGCTAAATAAGGGGACCACCAGAGGGCGATGGCAGTACCCGAGAATACCTACCACAGAGAAGCGACATTAACGTCGAATCCTTTGATGTTCGGTGTCCCAACTCCGAACCGAAGATTTTGAGTGATAAACAACCTNTTGTATCAAAAGAAGAAGCAGGAAGTAAGTTCATTGCCACGAATGCATTCATTCCACTGGCAACTGTACGGCTTAGAACTTGTGTTGCTAGACTCACTTTCATTTTTTCAAAATTGTTTGGATTGATATGTGATTTGGTAAGATTTGGTGCGAATCTATGAAATTGTCCTATGTCTTGCTCATAAAAAGAGCGCACAAAAGACCAAGATGTACTTTTGCCTTCAAAATTAAATGAATGTTTTGAAAAATTGTTTCTAGTGGCTTTTATCAAATGACTTGGATCAAAAATACAACAAGTTTTTTACCACCGAAATAAAATTCAGATTATTATACAGTGACCCCTAATAACTTCGTATATTACACTATCACTAACTACTCTAGTCATTAAATATGTGGAATTTCCTGACTCAATCAGTTAACAACTGCTTAATTCATATCATACCCTGTAGCTATGCTAGCGCCATTCTGGAGGATTTTTAAACTGTCATTTACTGCTGAAAGTTGGGACACTTTTTCAAGCTTCCTCCCATATGAGACAGTTCTCCTTACCCCTACCCTCCATAGTATTTAATGTAAGTATCAACAGAATTGGGTAGCTAGCAGTTGTTAACAACCAGTCGGCCGGAACATGTTGAAGTTGAGATGTACGCCAAAATCAAATTAAAAAGCCTGGTTTGTCAGCGACTGGTACCCAGTTCTGTTGGTAATCACATTAAATAGAGACATAGTACTAGAATCGCCCGTTGGTGGTCAGGGTAAGTACTAAAAATTTTACGGTACATGAAAATATAAGCTTCTATGCCGTAGAAGCTTATAACTCACATGGGCTTTGTATTTGCAAATATGCAATGATCGTTCATATTTGAAAGATGTTTTACTCTGCGTTTTTTACTGCATAGTGCATTGTGTTCTTCTATGGAGTTATAAATACTCATAATAATTGAATAGGCTTGTGACTTGCATGACGAAAATTGTTCGAATGACATGACAGAATAAAAATGAAAGTGCTTCACCTTAATATACAAAAGGTTTGCAAGTAATGCAAAAGTAACTCATGAATGTATCTAAAAAAAGGAAATAAAATATGTTATTGACTAAACTTGCAGATGTTCCAAACATCATATATCATACTATTATATATTGTAATTTTAGAGTGTCTGCTACCGCATGATTTTTTCCACTAAAGGGAAACTATTCAATGAATATTTGAAGAGAACCCTGTTATCTTGTTATATATTCTGAAATGAAAATTTTTATTGTGAAAGTACACAAAAGCTACCGTTTCAATAAATCTTAAATGAAGTTACTTGATGAGTCGAATTTGGATCTTTTGGCGTCAAATGAACCTATTGAATTCACTTTGAGGAAAACATGTTTTCAATACATGAAATGAAGTAGTCTCAACCTATACTATACTGAAAAAATGTATGAACCATCAATGTTAAGATTTTATGGATACTGTAAAATTGTAGTAACAGAAAATTCAGATGGAATATAATTCAATAATAAAAAATATTTGAACAGTTGAAAGGGAAAAAGATGGCAAGAAAATCTTATAACTAATAAGTAGGTATTGATTTGATAAAATAAAATAAGTAAATAAACATATTGACCTTTATGAATGCAAAGCTTCTTACTTAAATTTTTATTTAAGGTGATGAGTGTTTTACAGGAAAAACAATAAATTCAAGTGAGTTTTTTGTAGACCATATTGGACTAGATGACTAAAGCATGGCCACACTTTATTAGAAGATTATTATGAATTAATTTTTTAAAGAACAACCTGTAAACATGTATTATTTCACTATCCTATGTTAATTGTATTTTGTCTGCAATCCTTGTTATGCATGTACATTATTTCATTTTATCATTTTACTCACTGTACTTTGTTGTATGTCTATATGTTTTTTGACTTGTCCTATAGCTGTATTTGCTCGAATGGATAAATAAAGAATTGAATTGAATTGAATGAAATTTCTTTATTTGAAAGATCCTTTCTTTTTTTCGATGAAGAATCACCTCCTTAAATGTTTTACACTTATTTAGTTACACCCTGTATGATTAAAGTTTCTTAGAAAACTTACTTTTACATGTATATTGTAAGTCTGTTGCTGAAGAAAATTTCAAATTAGATTTACTGAAAAAACCAGGGCTTTTAGGCCGTGGTCAAATAGAACTTGTAGTACCAAAAGTTTCGTCTGCTACTGCGGCAGGCATCGTCAGTGGTACTGCGAGGGCGAAGGTTATATTTCTCAGCAACAACTGACAGTCATTCAGGCTTCGATTGTCTGTCCCAGTAGCAGACGAAACGTTTGTATTTCAGGTTCTTTCGACCATGGCTTACCAGCCTGGATTTGATTCTTTTTAATCATGACCCCGGCCCTGAAAGATTGTGTGCTTATATTGGTTAGTAGATGGTTATGAGTTGATTCTCAAACTAATTGTTATCACATAAAATAAACTTATCAGTGCTGCTCTGCATATGAAGGAATATATTTATTACTGATCATTTACTGAATAATAATAATAAGTTTATAACACCACATTACCTACAAATGTACAATAGTGACCAGTTAAACTGACACACAAGAATAACAATAATTGTACGATAGTTGTAATTATACACGTTGATTACATCTAAATTCAAATATTCGTCGATGGAGTAGAAACAGTGCCTGAATAGTGAATGCTTCACTCTAGTCTTAAAACGGCTATAAGACTGGTAATGTCTGTTGGTATTTTATTGTATAAATGTAAGTTGAGTGAATTTTGAGCTGATAGATCCAGTCTATAAAATTGAGGCCTTAGTATTATTTTTGTGAACCTTGAAAATGTTATAAAGTATGAAAATACATTGCAAGGGTAGAATTTTCAAGTCAGGAGTTGAAGAAGCTGGAAAAAACAAATCGCAAACCATTTTTTCAAAAGTGAACAATTTAAGATTGTTATTAGGGTTTTTCTGCAAAAAATCCACAACTATGGTTCCAGATGTAACCAGTTATAACAGTACAAGTCTAATAACATAGGTAAAAATCATATCTACAAATCATAAGTAACCCAAAGAACTGCTTCTAGCAGGTCCACAAAATTATCAGATTTATTTTTAAAAGGTCCCAATGAAAACTAAGTAGAGGATGATGAAACTAAAAAAATATTTGACTGTATTGGTGAGAATATGAGAGAGCACAAAATATAATGTCACCCAAGAAACCCAATCCACAATACTTCTTCAGAAATAATACATCAATGCATACACTTACCTGATTATCTGTTTTCTGAGAACTTGCTTGCAGGTCTCTGGCGATATCTTGTAATAAACTCTGGGTAAGTTGTTCCAACGAGTTGAGGTCGACATCTGCATCAAGTTCATCAAAAAGGTCTGGTAGAGAAGGTAACACTGTACGATCTTCCGCAATGCTAATCAAGAAAAAAATATTTGTTCAACAGTGCAATTAGGGTTTATATGTACTTTTTAATTATCAAGGTATTTGACTGTATAAACTTTGATATACTTGTTATGAAACTAGAACACTATGGCGTCAAAGTTATCTCCTAAAGTGGTTTCAAGTCATACCCCTGAGAAAGAAATCACTCAGAGAAAATGAGTACTCTTGGTGTTCCACAGGGTAGTGTACTGAGACCGCTTATTTGTATAATATTCATCAGTAATTTGGCTATGCTTACTGACAAATAAAATATAATCAACTTAGCAGATGATAGTACAATTCTATTCACGCTAGTTCCTTTCCAGATCTTATGAATCTTTCCAACGAAACAATGAATAATGTGAGGAACTGGTTTACAAATTCTTGACTAGTACTCAACCTCGAGGAAACTATTGCAGTTTTTCAAAAGTAAATCAATCATTCAAAATTTCTGATTACACTGAGAGATTACCAACAAAGGTTACCATTTGTTATATACACTAAATCCCTCGGAATTTTCATTGATGAGATATTGAAATTTGAAAACTATATTTAATTGCAATACCCAGAACCCTCTATTTTTAAAATTTTAATGCTCAGGCATGCTACGGTATTATTTTTTTGGGGTTAGTAGTGAGGCTGTGAGAGTTTTCAAGTAACAAAAAAAGATATATGTATCTTAAATTAAATTTTCATTATTCTGAAAATGATTTTTTCAAACTGTACCAGCACTGTTTATCTATGGATGAATTTTTTTTCTGATTAATTCGGCCGTTACTTGATGAAGATCTATAGTAATTTCATAAACTAGACCTGTTGATTTGATCTCCACAAACTTTATTTGAAAAATATATCACATCTTTCGCTAACACAGACGTTTTATCAACAGTGATTTGAAAACTCAAGTTGCTTCTTTCTACTACACAAATTATCTAAACCGAAGCATATTACCTCACTTCCACATTAATAATACTAATTCTTTTTCAGTTTTTCTAAGAAAACAAGTTCAATAATGGTGTTCTATTCAAATCCAGTTGGTCATTCATTAGACTGTTTGAATTTTTAAGTTTATTAAAGTTCTGATAATAATTGAAATATATCGTTACTGTTAGTGCAAAAGGTCGTATGTAAAAACTATCTATTTTCATTTTATTTGTGCTAAAGGTGACATTTTGCAGTGTGCAACTGCTTCAAAAATATTGTATGTCATCAGCTGATCTATTATAAGTTATGGTTAAATGTAAAAAAGTCGTATGTTGTGCAGCAGATTTTTTTTACTGTAAAAAGTCGTATGTAGAATATAACTTTGATGGACAACTTACTCACTTACACGTGTTGTACGAAAGTTTAAGGACTTCCAAGACCTGAAAACTTGCCTTAAAGAATATTATCATTCTTTTATGATAATCTCCGTCACAGCAATTGCTCAGAAACAATGTGCCTTCACATTATTACCCAATGAATCTGATCATTTTGAAGATTTATGATTTAATAGTTTCAAATCATTTCTAACTTTCTCATCAGAAACATGAAAGTTGAAATCTGAAACGACTCCAACTCTTCTCTTTTTTAAGTATTTAAATAATTTTTTAAAGAAGAAGGTTGAAATGATAAGTTTAAAATGCGTTGTTTTAGAGCTCTTTCATGAAAACTACTTGATTTTCATCAGGAGGAACATTCTCCATTGAATTGATAGAATACAAATATCTTAGACTTGGATTTAGGATAATTAATGCTTTGAAAGCTTAATTGCTATTTGTTTATGTGCACTTCAAAAATTGTAGAATAGGGGCATACATAAATGTATTGCTAAAATGGAACAGATACACCTGCTTATGGGTAATGATTGGCTATTCGTGAAAAATAAGTTGTTACATTTTTCCATGATTTTTATTATCAAAATAGTAACTAGAAACCTTTTCACGTATTTCAACCAATTCATTGTTTATACTGGAGGAATCATGAAATTATATGCAAGTAAAATTAATTTTTTATTCCACAGAGGGGTCTTAGATTATAATCAACTTCCCAGTGAAATTAAAAGTAACAAATGAATCAATCTCTTCAAAAAAATATTAGTTGAAGTCGAATCACACTTTTATCATCTGCTTTATTACACATGTGTCAGTATGAATTGTCCATGTGAACATCAAGTTTGGGCCTTACTTTCATTTCCTTCTTCTTAAACTTTACTAGCGACCCTCCCTGGTTCCGCATGGGTGCAATGCTGATACTAAATATACATATAAACGCGTACGATCATGTGATATATTTTTCAAATAAAGTTTGTGGAGATCAAATCGTGAGGTGTAGTTTATGAAATTTATGAGATGCATTATAGTTGTTTTTAAACATTGGAGCTACTTTGAGCCTCTTTAGACATCTCACTCATATGGTATAAGACGTGTATTAAATCTTTAACATCCAATATCGCCATCTGTCCTGGACATAAAGAGCTGATCCCTATTTCCATAAAAAAAAATTATAATCATGCACCTATTGCTATAAAAATGTGTAACAGAAATTTTAACGAAATAAAAAACCACTAATCAAGATCTGGAAAATTATTCGTCACGTGGTTATCTCCATTTCATGTTTTATTATTAATATTTCAGCATTGATTATTTTGAAGTTTTATTGCAAGTTTTATGTATTTTCTAATTTCTATTCATTAAAATTATTCTTACCAGGCTGTGACATTTGGCGAACCTCCTTCAGAACTGCTGCTGAGTGTGTGACTCTTCCTTTCTGTAGAAGGAGGGACTCTGTGGGACCATTAAGGGCCTCACACTCAACAGATCGATTCTGAGAGTTTGCACATATCGGGCAAGGTGATTGCAGACGATTGTAAAGATCTAAATTCTCTTGAGAAAGTCGTTGGTTGGCCAATTTCAGATTTTCACATTCTGCGATGAGACTTTCATTTTTAGAAAATAACTGTTGAAGTGCATTTTCCATTTGGTCCATTTTGGCCTTTTTTCGGTCACGAGATGTTTGAGCTGCAACTCGATTTTTTAATTTCCTGAAAAAAAAAAAACTGTGCAGTGTGGCAATATAAAATTACGATACTCTAGGTTTTAAGTGAAGAAATGACCTTCCCTTTCAGAAAACAAATTTTACTCGTTAGATAAACATCTTGGTCTGATATGTTTGAATATGGTCGACTATGTTTTTTTGGTGAACGTTACAAATTCAAACTTCCATTGTCCAAAAANAGTTTCATCTCGATGGACGTAGGAATTGATGCCAAAGTCGAATTTCAAATACAGCTAGTAAAAAAAAATAATTTGCTGCAGATTTTAGTGGCAAGTAAGTCATTGAAGAGTTTCATCCAGGTAATGGATATATCTCTGTGAAAGTAAATGAAGAACCTAAAGGAACTTACGAGCGTACTGTAGTCATGTGCATAAACTGTTATTCATTGAACCATAAACGTTGCAGTGAGAGAACCTTGGAAAGGGAGACAACAGACCTTATACAAGTTAATGAATCTATGGTAATCTACTGTGACACGAAAACTGGAAACAATCAATTACCTACTGGGCAAGTAACAATCTTAAATTCATTTCATGAAAAAACTAACGACCAGGATGGAGAATAAAAATAATATATTGAAAAAAAACAACATTATGCGTATTCAAATTTTTAAAGCAAATGATTAAAAAAAACGTGCAGAAAAATGACAGAGAACCCTTCATGCAGCAGTTGTAAACAAAGACCTAACCTTGAACAATTCTGATAACCTTCCATCGGGGTTAGAACCATAGAACAGCTTGAATTGTTAGTTCAAATGAGCACAAACAAACGCACTTTTTCTCGATAACCACATTCTTTACGTCAAAATCCTGTCAAAGAAAAAGGAAGAGGCAACGGCGGTAATCAACTTGTTTATAAACAGGAAGATAAATAAACAGGTGAAATCGAGGATTTCAGATACTGAGAACATCAGAAAAAAAAGGCGAAAAAAAGACTGGGCACGGGGGACAACAGTAAATATAACACCTTCTATAACATATTATGCTATCACTTTGATTTATATTTTCCACTATCTAGCTCAATGAGAAAGTTGGACAAATTCTGAAATGGAACAATACTCTAGCAACGTCAGAAACTATATATGGAAACAAACTAACGAAGTATATGCCAGAAAAAGGATATGGAGGGTTTTTGTCAGATTATGAAAAATTCATAAATGGTGACAAAATATCTTGTTTAAAAAAAAAGTCCAAAACTGTTTGGACATTTTTTGAAATTTCAGTAATGGGAAAATGTCATAATACTCGAATAACAATTGAAAAACAAAATAATAATGTCGTTTCTGATCAGAAAGAAATTTCTAACCTTTTCAACAACCATTTCACTGACAAAACAAGTTCCGAAAAAAAATTAAGGTACTAGTGTAGCTTAAAATTTGGAGACTATCTTTTTGGAAAGTAAATAATTCAAAAATCTGAACTATCTTGAATAAACTACAACCAAAGTTGCTTGTGGGATGGACTGACAATTCACCCATTCATATGGAAAATAGTAGCTTATTACATATGCGACCCCCTGGTAGATCACAGATAAGAGTCTGATATCAAGTATCCTCCTGGAAAACTTGAAAGTAGCACAGGTGATTCCTATGTACAAAAAAGGTCAAAAAATATAAATATTTATAGACTTGTATCTACCTCAACATCCCGTTGAAGATTTGCGAAAGGGTTATCTACAAGTGACTTGTAGCTTTTATTGCTAAAAATAATATTTTTCCACCACAACAATATTGATTTAGACATGGAATGTCAACAAAATTTATTATTTGCCATGCTGTAACAGAAATTACAAAGAACATTGGTTCAAATAGGAAAACAAGTAGCTTGTACTTTGATATTTTGAAGGCTTTCGATTTGGTAAATTGTAATGTCTTATCTGGTAAGATGGAAAAATATGGAATAAGAGGAAAGAGTAAGGATCTCATTTGGTCAAATGTCAGGACGCTCGCAAATTGTAAGCATTTCACAAAAAATCAACTGGTTTCTTCTGAATTTAATTTCCCAAGGTGTACCGCAGGGGTATACCTCGAAACTTTATGTCAATGATCTACTGGGTGCGCTGAGATCGGAACTAGTCTCTCAGTTTGCTGATAACACATCAGCAAACTGATACTGAAGTGGGTACTCTTTCTTCGGAGAGCTTAAAAGACATTGCAAACAAAATGTCCAACTGGTGTTCAAATAATTAACTCAAATTGAATACAAGAAAAACTGGAATCATATCATTTAATAGATCTCAGAGTTATCAAGAATCTATACATGTAAAACTAAATAATAAATATGTTCCTCTAATAAACGAAATAAAATTATTTGGGGTTACAATGGAGACTTCTCTTAGTTGGGGTAAACACATAAAAATACTCTATTCTAATCTCTGTTCCATATGCAGAGTTATTTGATCTTTATGGGATCAAGTATCCTTAGATAGTCTGAAATTTTATTACTATGCCCACGTCCAGTCGATAATTCAATACGGTATAATTTTCTAGGGATCAGCTGTGAATGCTCACAATATCTTAAAAACCCAGAAGAAAATAATTCATACTATGCCGAAACTACATTACAGAGAATTGTGCAAACAAAATTTTTAATATATGGAAATACTAACAGTTCCTCCACTATATTTCTTTCACCTTTGCAAAAAAAACATCAAAACAAAAAACTGTGACACATATACTGTTGAAATGCACATAATTGACAATACTCATTCACAAGCATAGATATTGTATTATATACACATAATTACTCATAATATATTTCTAACAGGAAAGGTATTTTTAGTAGTAACAAATGGAAAAATGAATGAGACTTAAGGCCTAAGCCTGATGCATGAATTCAGCTTTAGTCCAAAAGTGTTTGGATCAATTGACTAAAAAAGTAATGATACTGAACTCAGCAGACCCTAGATTCTAGGCACTTGAATAGTTGAAATTCATAGACATATAAATTTTGCCACATCAGCAACACAAGTTGCAAATGTTTTTGAACTCACTTCCTCTGAATTTTTTCTTCCCATGTTAAGTGGTCCAGCCTTCTCTTTTTGGGCCTCTCTGGTATCTCGGTATTTTGGTCCAGAGGGTAATTCTGATTATTCAATTCCACGTATTTCAATATCGCAGAGATAGCAGTCATTATTACTGTTTTGAAAAACTTGAGACCAAAAGTATTTTAGTAAACACTTGTCACTTAATCTTTTTTATAATAGAAGGTTGATCTGAACTGTTTACTATACGGTATGAAACTGATCTTCTGGGCTGGGTGTTCCTATGTGATTTCCTTTCTGAATCTGATGCAATACTAATTTATTATGACCAAAATATTGAATTATTGACATTTCCTATCAGGTTAGGTGTAGATTTTCAATTGGTTCTTTCCCTAAATAGAAAACTGTAAGAACCAATCATAACACAGAGTGAAGCGGGAGATTTAAAATGGGTTCATATTAGGACAGGATACACAATGTTATGGTATGTTCTGTGACTCACAGCTCTGACAGTTTTTAATTAATGTTTACATCATTACAATAGATATTTGTCATACGTATTTCCCAAATTATGAGTTATATTATATATTGCTTTTACTACTCACACAAAAAACTATAATTCATTTTGCAAGATTTCGAAGATGATGAAAGTTTTTGGGTAGGTTCCTATCAGAAATTAAAATTAACTATTTTATAAAGCACTATATTTTTTATAGGTGAGACTGGGTAAAGTGGTCATTGCAACAAAGTTTGAATTAACATACAGGGTGTTTATTAAGTATGTACCATGAATTTAACAGACTATTCTTTATTTAATTTTAAGACGAAATGTTCATATATAAACATGGGTCCGTAAATCCTTCGTTCTCAAGATACAGGGTGTTAAAATAAAAATTAAAAAAAAGTTATTCGTAAATATCTTAAATATCCTTTACAAACCACAAGATCCGACTAGAGACAAATTTTACTTTTTCACAATAAACAGAACGGTACAAATATGATAAAACACCTAAAAACACCAAAAAAAACTTCATAGTGAGATTTTCACTAAACAATTTCACAAATGACTTGTTCGGGTGTGTCTTTACTAACTACATGCTACATATTCAATGATTTATATTCACATTTTATTATCTGAAGTACCTTACTTTAAAGTACTTGAGTTTAACCTAGCTAATTAATGTTTTATGTGTATTTGAGTTTGTAATGAATGAAATGACCTAGGCTTATGTCCCAAAATTTCACCAAATTATATCTAGTGTACTTTTAATCCTCTGGGGGGTGGCACGTGCCCCCTAGATCCGCCACCGGGTCCAACACACTTAGCACTCCTTGAAATTTTCTGAAAAACAACAAGTTCTTCATGAACAGCAAAATTACAATTCACACTGATGTTTTCTATACCACCTACGGTTGGGAGTGATTCATCTAGGTGTGTGTTAATAAAAATTATATTGTTGATTGGCGAAGTTCAGACTATGAATTGCATTTGGTTCTATAGTAAATATTGTAAAGGGACTAGGACCTCCGTATATTTCCAATTACGGCTCCAGATTTTTTGTGAGAAATAAAACTGCAGTAAAATATGCAAACAAATATAATCAATCAATTAAACTAGTAACAAATTATTTGAAATTTCAAGATAATCGTTAGTCGAAACATTTATTTCAGATCTCCACGTATTGATTCTTCCCAAGAAATTGTATGCGCCAGTCGATATTCAACAGGTATCATATTCAAATTATAAATCCTTAATGTGACTTCTTTCGTGAACTTTCAAATGACCTCTTCGAGTGAAACGATTTGTACAGATATTACACTGGAATGGTCTTTCTGCAGTATAACTCCTTTCATGTTTTAATTACTAGGGTCAACAAAAAATTTTGGACATATCTTACACTGATACGGTTTTTCTCCAGTATGACTTCTTTCGTGAACACTTAAAGTACCACTTTGAGTGAAAGACTTCGAACAAATATTACACTGGAATGGTTTTTCTCCAGTATGAATTCTTTCGTGTATTTTGAGAGAACTTCTTTGGGTGAAAAATTTCAAACAAATTTCACACTGGTATGGTTTTTCTCCAGCATGACTTCTCAGGTGTAATTTCAAAGTATACTTTCGAGTGAAATACTTTGAACATATCTGGCACTGGTTTAGTTTTTCTCCAGTATGACTTCTTGCATTCTCAGTTTTCATTTCTTCATAGAAAATATCAGTTTCTTCATTTTTTATTTTTTTGTTATCTTCTTCGCTTCCACCAATGTTGTTGCTATCATCTCCGCAATCCTTCTTTATATCTTGACTCATGTCACCTCGTACAACATCAGGCACATTTTCTTCTTTCGCAATCCCAGTTTTGAGTTCATCATAGACAACGTTGAATTCTTCAATTTTTATTTCTTGGCTTTTACGGATGTTGTTGCTATCATTTTTGCAATCCATGAAGTAATCAGTAGTTCTATCATTATCAAATATTCCACTGTTACTAAACATCTCAACTTCGTGTTTTTCAACTTTAACTGGATTCATTTCTAGAATAGCTTCACCAAAAACAAATGTGGAGTTTTCATCAACTGTCTTTTCTTTTTTAACGCAAGCCATTTTTAAATCTATTTTTAAACACCAACTTTTCTGACAAAATTTCAGTAGTATTCAGCTTATAGACCAGTACTTCGTTCATAACAATGAAACACAACTGAACGAGTATCTGGTTTGGTCTTCTATATATGTTAACCCAAATTGGTCACTAATGCAAATCCCTTTTCAGAAATAATTTTATTTACCTGTTGGATGAATTACCTCCAAGAAATACTTTCGTTGAATTCAATAAGGGTGGCTCAATTCATGATTGAATTACTTTTGTTCATTAATTGAAAACCCTTTCTGATCGTTTACAACCAAACAAGTAGTCAATGATATACAGTGTGGTCCAACGAAAACTTAACACCTCGAGTTTCCGGCGTTAACATGAAAATGTGGAAAATCGCTCGAACCCGTCAATTTCTGATTCGAGGGGGAACAACTGTTCCACTGTTTTCATCCCCGTGACTTCAACCCCCTAACGGGGGTGAGCACAACCCCTTGATTTTGAATAGGGATATCGTTTACAACCAAACAAGTAGTCAATGATATATTTGAATTGATATGGAAAAAGTGAAAGTGATAAAAATTGAGAAATGAATTTTCTCATATATTCCAGAAAAATTGTGAGGGACACTTTCTCAATTTTCCAAATATTGTTCAATCATAATCCAAAGTAATCACAGTTTGAATTATTGCTAATCAGTATGTACTGGGAAAATCATATTGTTTATGATTGCATTGACTATAATATCCTCTCTGTTCACTATCCAAGTAGTTTGTATTTTATTTGTTCATACTTGAATCATCTGATTTTCGGCACTTTAACATATTCTGATTCAGTTGTGCATATTGCATCATGTGTGTTACAATGGAAAATAAAGTCATATGTCAGTCCAGCTACTTTGGGTCTATTACTTATTCATTTGTTTTTATAATTTTTTCAAAAATTACATTTTATAAAGAAACTAACTTTAAACGCTCAAGCCAGTCTCGAATATACCTACACAGTAGGTTAAATGGACTGACGCCTATCAGAAGACAACTATTCCCCTGGCTAATACCACGAAGGGTGTTGGATTATATCCGACAGGCGTCAGTACAGGAATCTTCACAGAAAATTTCCTGCATATGCGCGAAAGAATAGCACTTAAAGACTGACTGTGGCGAAGCTTTTACTTCAAGGCAGTCAACCCGGGAGGGGGCATGGGGGGGAATTTTCAATTATGGAATATCATTGACTTTAGGTCGATAATGGTCACTATCTTGCACTAATGAGTGGCTAATGAGCCCGAAACCGGTCTTCAAGTGTGCCCGTTCCAAAATTGAAGGTCGACTCTTTCAGTTGTATTGCCAATTGCATATCCAGGAAATTTTCTGTGAAGATTCCTACACTGACGCCTGTCGGATATAATCCAACGCCCTTCGTGGTATTAGCCAGGGGAGTAGTTGTTTTCTGATAGGCGTCAGTCCATTTAACCTACTGTGTAGGTATATTCGAGACTGGCTTGACCGTTTAAAGTTCATTTCTTTAGATTTGTTTACTGCCAGTCTTCAAGAATAGCCCACTGACTAATAAGGAAAAAAATACATTTTAGTTTGACTTATCTTAATTAGGATTCACAGGGGTAGATCTGTTATATACAGAGTGTTTCCTAGCTACGATACGAAACTTCAGAGGGTGATTCGCTAGGTCGTTTCAAAAAAAGTTCTTATAAAAATATGTCTGGAGTTGCTTCATTTCTGAGATACAGGGAGTTGACGTATTCATGAAATATCATAAATATCCTTACACAGATTTGGTTGAAATTTGCTACAGTTATTTGAAGTAATGCGGCGCTTATTTAGCCATATCTAAATTGAAATTATCAGGTCCAGTGGAGTCTCAGTGGAGTCTCAGATTAATCAACTGAAAATACAGCTTTTTCGCCGCTTGTGTTCTCTTCATATCTAGCTTCGTTTTCGAGAAAAAAAATTGAAATCAATTTGCATATCATGAACACCTGTTTTGGAGACCAGCTGAAAGTAATAGTGTTGTCTGACATATCAGTGAAAATGAAAGTTGTCAGTTAGCAGTGATTCCATCATAAATGATTTTACTAACGCTAAAATGGCTGACATGCGCTTCATTTATGGATTAGCAAATGGAACACGGAGAATTTAGGACATATTTCTTAACAGAGTAATTCCATGTGCTCAAACATTTAGAAAGCTACATGCAAGATTATGTGAAACTGGAAGTTTTAATAAAAATGCAGGAAGGCCAGAAGCTGTAACAACGCCTGAATTAGAAGAAGCTATACTTGATGAGATAGGAGAAGATCCTTCAAATATTACAACTGCAGCTGAATGTTGACCCATAAATCGTTTCGAAAGTTCTAAAAAATACCTCCTTTACCCATGTCACATATAGCGGGTCGAAGCTCTACTGTCTCAGGATTTTAACCTAAGATTAATGTTCTGCAGGTGGTTGATTCATACGATGCTATTTTTACCAAATATTTTATTTATGGGCGAAGCAAATTTTTCACAAGATGTTATCATGAACTTTCACAATGAACATTTTTGAACTGACGAAAATCCCCACGTTATTGAAGAAAGAAATTTTCAGCAACAATTTTCGCTGAACATTTGGGTAGAAATGATTGGTGACTACCTATTTGGCCCATTTTTTCTGCCATCAAGAATAACAGGTGAATCATACACGGACTTTTCGCGAGATCGT